ATAATTTATGGTCTGATTTTAATGTAGGCTGAGCGTTTATAATAATGGATGTGTGCTTTATAAAACGGTTGATTAAAATCAAGGCGTAAACAATGCAGTAATGTACGACAAGAGCTATGAGAACTTTCCTGTTTATTTGTACACATAATTAAATTTGAAGATATAGCTGCTCGTACATCTGCCATGGTGATTTATACATATTGGTTGGGCATCACAAATAAATTTATTCGTAATTATTGCGACAAAGCGGTTTAGTAGCAGTAGAGCTCCTTGTGAAAGAGTTCGTCTAGGGAAGTACTGCCAGCTTACCTATTTCTGCCGCCAAGCAGTGATATCATTACTGTGTTCCGGTTTTGAAGAGTAAGGGTGCTGGTGAATATACAGGCATATGAGACTTGTCAGCTTGTCGCAGGGTGACGGCCGCAGTAGCAGTGCCCCTGAGATCTTTGCGATTTTAAGCGATTTGCGGTTTTGAGTGTCACTGCAACTGTTATGGACAGGCGTGTAACTTGCCATCAGGCGCACGACTTGTTCGTCCCGCCACTTGACACTATAAGTAAGCGACAGTGATGTCATTATAGTTTGTTCAAGGTAAAAATTTATTTTAAATGTGTTAACATCACTTAAAAAGACAGTTTCTAAAAACCCAACGGTCATTAATTTCAATCTTTAGAATAGACTTGCGAATACAGTCAGCAATACAGCAGCGATGGCGCTCTCTTAACTACTTACACGTTAGATTTGAGAAAAATATTTACTCAAGAGAGAAAAATATCAGCTCAGACACTGGTCCGAGTTCAGTTAGATCGAAGAAATTATTCTTTGTGTTGTTCGATCTTTGTATCTAATAATAATAACAATCTAGTGGAGTATTTTCACAAAAAAATATGAATGTGATTGTAGTAAAACATCAGGATATTCAATAAATAAAACAGAAATATTATTTATATTAGTCTCATCCAGTAAATCGTACTGACTGATACTTCCCAAAGAGATTTGTCGCACGCAGGCTTACAATTTTCAACTATTGTGCCGTCTTGCGAATGTTCAACTTACAATTGTGTTCTCCATACAAATTTACTACAGGTTACTGATTAAACTAAATCTGTTTCTTTGTTGAAATCTTGATAACAAGGTTGCCAGACATACGGGAGTTCATGTACATGTACAAACATTTAGACATTCAATGACGTCTTCGGTGATTAAATGTTCAGCACTGTTGGGTTATAGATGACAACATCACGGATGCGATTCCCAGTAAAACCAATTTGGTAACGAACTTTTCTAAATTAATTCTGGTCTGGGTGTTTTGCGAAATGCCGCTGGAGCTGATGTCGTTATTCTGCTACTCATAGCAGATTCCCTAGTTTGAGACCCGATAATTGGTGGAAATCTGGCATATTAATATCACAATAAAAACTGTATTTTTTAGCATTTGTTTTGTTTTAAAACTTAAATCAAATATCAGTATTTAAATTTACCCTAGATTTGCAAAAATAATTGATACTGAAGACGTGATGTTTGTCGTCGTTAACTAATCTTACTAGCATGTACAATCTACGACAAGTCAGGTTTGACCTTGAGCAAAACTATATTTTGTTCCGGTAGATCTCATAAATTAATCGCAATATCATAATCACAAAAACGCAGACTAATGTATATAACACCAATGGGTTTCTATATGCGTATTGGCTTCTAAACTTTATCAGATTGTCGAAATTCAACAATTTGTACGCAATGATGAAAGCAAATTGATAGAGCGTTCAATTACTGCTTTTCAGTTCTTACAATTTATCACAGTCTGATTCATCTTGTAACAATTACGTTACAAAGGCCTTTTTGTCCTATAAGTATTATTTATTATTTCTCGAGTTCATCTGATCGTCTTAAGTAGACAAAATCGCATCGGTACCAACATAGATGGTATAAAGGAGGAGGTAAAAAGAGACCACTGGTCAAAACCTTACTTTAGGATAGAGTTTTTCAGACAAAAGAATTGCTCGTTTGGTAGGCGAACCCGTGACCGCTGTAAGCTGCAATCTAATGAAGATGCTTATGCTGACTGACTGTAGTTTGGATTTACCCTTCGATCGGATCGACCGCTCTCCGACAAAAAACAGTAATATTTTAGATAGTGAAACAAAATGGATTGTTTGATAAGAAACATCTTTGCCAGAAACATTTTTTTAAATTTGCAGAAAAAGCATTTGGTTTTCCATGGAAAATACAAAAGTAGCAGCACGGTTTGTATGTATGCGCGCACATCGCTGGTCGTCACATGCACCGTTCATTGTTATTCGAATGTGTTGCGGTTTGCGTATGAATGGAGTTGTACTTGTCTTATTATAATTACGTGTATAATTATGTACTACTTAACATTCACACCAAGAACCGCTTAAAAATATCATAACATTCTCGTAACAGTTTTCACTGTGTGTTAGCTTTATTTATCTTCGCGTATCGGAAAATTAATGAGAATTTCAAAATAAATAGACCCAACACCTTAAAGATGACATATAAACGTAAACACACAAAGCGGCTTTCACAAGTTGAAAGTTCATTAAGGAAAAACATTTTCAGTGAGTTCTAAAACGTTGAGCAAATTTCTCGTCTATTGAAGAGTTCCGGTAAACTTTTAGTCAATAAGAACTTTGCGCATTGACGGTAGCCGCACGGCTGTCAAAATTGCACACTGCTTTTCGCAGTACGAGAATTCATCTTTGTGACAGTTCAATTGACAATTTGAAGAGGACAGTCCAATTGCGCTCCATACAAACGGAATTAAATATAATATATTACGGAGTCACCACGCTTATCGACACGTAATCGCATTCGCTGGTCAGATAAATCTTTATGTCAATAGTATAAACAGCGAAAATTACATCGTGGGTTTCGAACGGAAGCGAAACTCTCAACGTCTTTTTCACTCTTATTGCATATACATAAAGGTTTTCGGTTCGGCACCTCATAGATGGCGACACCGTGGAAACCCACGCCATACATACAAGCCACTCAATCACAGAGGTCGTCAAAGGAGTTCAAACATATTTTGAATATTAATTAACCAATAAAACTCAATTACAATTGACTAGACCTGATATAAAAACTAATATTTTAAATTTAGAAATAATACATACTCAAAATCTCGAATTTTTTTTCTCAAAATTACCTGACTACATATTTTTCCAGACTATGAAATATTTTCAAGAAAAACCATGACCCTAATAAAAATAATGTACTCTTAATAATTAAAAGTGTATCTATTCACCTACATGTCATTTCAACAACGAAATGCATGTCGTGTTAAACAAAAAATATTACACTTTTTATTTTCAATTTCAAATTTTGTGGAACATACATATATTTCCTTTATTTATTAATGAATATGTGTTTGTTCTCGCTTTAATTTATAGTCTTATATTTTGCTCATTCGATAAATGATAAATAAACAGTTTAGTAACAGAAACTGAGAAAAAATTCATATACATCTTACAAAAATGATATATCTAAATTTTCATTGACAATGTTTCATTTAAGCTTCTAAAGCTTTAATATTAGAACCCTAAATCCCAAATCGAGAAAGTCGTTGAAAGCTTGGAACTGTCTCTATCAAACGCATACCCGAACTATCTCATCACGTATGTATAGTCCATTGTAGCGTCCAACTAAACAATAATGTCCCTAAAGGAACAGCCTTGGGTATTATCGCGATATCGACTTCGGAAGATGCCGTAATAAATTATTTGCACGAAAAAATACCAAAAAAACAAATTAGAGACTGTACATTTGTCACTTTTTTTAAATTTCTTTGAATAAAGTTTTCAATAACTGAAATTAAATAATTTTGGGTTAATTAAAATTACCATGGTATCAGTGGTTTCATCTTGCTAAGATTAATTTAATGGTCTGAATATACTCATACTAAGAGAAACGCATACTAGTATCTAAGATAACATTCGAATAGCAGAAATTTGATTTCAGTTTCTGTCTAAATGCTCTTTGTGCATCAAACACAACTCTGGTCATTCCGTATGCGTTGCACCAAAACAGAGATCTGACGGCCTGTCGGAACTAACCCACCCTGCAATGTATAGCCCCTATTCCCCGTTCGTCACGTAAATGCCTCCCCAGCCTATAGCCAAATGGTACCATGAATTAGACAGGCTTCCCGTGATGTATTGTCAAGAGCCCGTGTAGTTTTGCATGCGGAACGAACCTGCCTTTACGGCGAACATTCCCTGCGAATGAATCTGCGTTTCTGGCATTTCAAACTTCAATATTCAAGTCACAGCTGTATGATGCGATTAAAGCGCAGCTGCAATAACAATTCTCTCTTCCCAAAAGCAATTCATACCAAATGTTTATGACTTACTGCTTAATTAGACATCAATTTAAACTTTAACAACAGCCGTCGTACAATTTCGTGCCTTTTCAGCAAACGTAACTTCATACTGCCTACTATAAAACAAGGCCATTCACCTCGCAAATATCTCCCCTTAGGTAGCACTGCTAAACACGGGGGAGTCGAAAATAAATTTCCACCCTCACCCTAATTCGAATAACACGAAGTATCCCCTTACGACTCGCCCTATGCGTTGCCATGGTAACGTAGCCCTTTGCAGCACTGCATCACATAAACATTCCTGAGTCTGTGCAGTTAAGGCTCGCCTCGCGCCACCATTATTGATGTTTTCGGTACTGTATCCTACCCGCTCCTTCCGGCATTTCGCTCGGTTGCTCGTAAATTCTCCAAAAATATTAAGTAAAGCGTCTCAATTTATCACATTTACGTCGCGGCATCTCTATTGTTAAGGTCAGGGACTCGGTAAAAATATTTTACATTGTGTGTCAGAATTTAAGAAGTGGGTAGCGAAAATTAGTTACTAGACGGTATCTAAACCTGTTTATTGTTTAATAAAATGTATTAACATTCCACTGCTACTCTCTTGCTTTTTAGAATGTTTATACCAGGGCTAACTGGAGTTTTCTCTTTGTTATAGGGATGCCGGTTTCCTGAAGATGGCCTCACGCACCCCGTCCCTTGAGTCGCTGCCCGGTGCTAACTCTATAGGTTCGCTGGAGCGTGGCTCCTTATCGCCCTTGACTCTGAGCGGTTCATCACCCCCTGCGAGTGACTCCGCCGTATGTGACCTTCGTGAGTTCGACGGCCTCGACACCATCTGCGCGATCTGCCGAGAGACATTCGTCGACCCAAAAGTACTCAACTGCTTCCACACATTTTGCCGGGCCTGCCTGGAAAGGGAACAGACTTATTCAGACAAAGTTACGTGTGTGACTTGCCGCATCGACAGCCAGCTGCCACCCGCGGGTGTATCTGGATTACTGACAAACCTCGTGGTAGCTGCCGCAGTTGAGCAGGACGCGGACCTCCTTCCGTCTGCTCGCCAAACTAACTCGCCTTCAGCCCGCTGCACCGGCTGCAAATCTAAGGAATCAGACGCCGTAGCGCGTTGTGTCGACTGCGCCAATTTCCTCTGCCCGAATTGCGTCATGGCGCACCAATTCATGCACTGCTTCGAGGGCCACCGCGTGTTGGCGTTCACAGACTTGAAAGATGACAAAGGTATGCTCGGATCTACTCTCACAACGAGCGGTGACAAAACTGCGTTTTGCCCAAGACACAAAAATGACATACTCAAATATTTCTGCCGCACATGCTCCGTGCCCGTATGCAAAGAGTGCACCATTATCGAGCACCCTGCAGCACTTCACGATTGCGAGCACCTGTCTGACGCCGGACCCAAACAATTGGAGCTTATGCAACAAGCTGTAAACGAAGCGAAAACTCGCGCAACTGAAATTAGGCACGTTGTCAAAACTGTTGAACACGCTGCAGGAAAACTACAAGTTCAATACCACAAAGCTCAAAATGAAATTAATGACACGTTCCAATTCTACCGCTCAATGCTTGAAGAACGTAAACAAGAATTATTGAAAGAACTCGAAAGCGTGTTTTCCGCTAAACAAATTGCTCTCACAGTAGTCGGGCAGAAAGCTCAAGAAACCGTTGACAAAATCTACCAAACTTGCGACTTTGTAGAACGACTGACCAAGTGCGCCAATATAGCCGAAATTTTGATGTTCAGGAAACTCTTAGACACCAAACTGCAATCTCTTATGAGCTCTAATCCAGAACAAAGTGTTCAAACAGCCTGTGAGCTTGAATTTGTTTCTAATTATCAAGCAATCCAAGTTGGTGTGCGAAACACATTCGGTTATGTACGCTCCAGCTCAGAGGCAAATGTTGGACCTACTAAGCAACCACCTATTGCACGCCCCACTAATGGCTCGCTACTCAATGGCGGCTCATCATCCAGCAGCAGCAGCGTGAATGGTAGCTCTGGAAGCCTGAACGGTGGAATCCATCTCCCGACCGGCCTTAACGGCGTACTGGATCGCCCCTACACGAACGGTCTTCTAGGACCGACTAGCCAATCGACATCGCCATTCGATTCGACCATCATTTCTAAACGCTTCAATAGTGCCAATAGCCTCGGGCCCTTCTCTACTGCCATTGGAGACATCAACTTGAATGGAATCAATCCTTATGAGAAATGGTCAAACGGTGGCTGCGACTCGCTATTCCCACCCGCAACTACAGACCCCTATTCGCTCAGTACTGCCGCTCACACTGATCCCATTCTAGACTTGACTAATAAGCTAATTTCTACTGCCATTTTCCCGCCGAAATCGCAAATTAAACGACAAAAGATGATTTATCATTGCAAATTTGGTGAGTTTGGCGTGATGGAGGGTCAATTTACAGAGCCAAGTGGCGTTGCAGTTAATGCACAAAACGACATTATCGTTGCTGACACCAACAACCACCGCATCCAGATATTCGACAAGGAGGGTCGCTTTAAATTCCAATTCGGCGAATGCGGTAAACGAGACGGACAACTTCTCTACCCAAACAGAGTTGCCGTAGTTAGAACCTCTGGTGACATTATCGTGACTGAGAGATCGCCTACGCACCAGATTCAGATTTATAACCAGTACGGCCAATTCGTACGCAAATTCGGTGCCAATATACTACAGCATCCGCGAGGTGTCACAGTGGACAACAAAGGACGTATCGTCGTTGTCGAATGTAAGGTGATGCGCGTCATTATTTTTGATCAAGTCGGCAATGTCCTGCAGAAATTCGGATGTTCAAAGCATCTAGAATTCCCTAACGGTGTAGTGGTGAATGATAAGCAAGAGATATTCATCAGCGACAACCGGGCGCACTGCGTCAAGGTGTTCAATTACGAGGGCATTTACTTGCGCCAGATTGGAGGTGAAGGCGTCACGAATTACCCGATTGGTGTTGGCATCAACGCCGCTGGCGAGATCCTGATCGCCGATAACCACAACAATTTCAACCTGACTATATTCACACAGGACGGACAATTGGTGTCCGCACTTGAGAGCAAGGTGAAGCACGCACAGTGCTTTGACGTAGCGCTCATGGACGACGGATCAGTGGTACTTGCCAGCAAGGATTACCGCCTCTACATCTATCGCTACGTGCAGGTTCCACCTATAGGTATGTGAGCCCCCCGCCCTGATCACAGGAGATCGGAATGACCGACGATCTCCAAGCCAAAAATCGACACCCTGAAACGTAACTCGCGAGTGTAGAGACCACAGTTCTGGCCATGTGTCAATTTTTGAATAGTTAAAGTGAACAATCAAAGTGAAGTTAACGATACTTGCTTTTTTTGTAAGTGCAAGCAAGTGTTAATGATTGCGGCTGGCTCGATGTGATCAATTTAACTAACGATGGGAATCTTTAACATATTTTCGGCATGAGATCTCTGTATGCATTATTTCTAAACGAAACTGTAATGAGATTAGTTATAGTATTGACATTGTTATTCGAGTACCTATTTAAAGGATAGAGATTATTCCGTTGGATCGATCTAAACATGCGAACGGTGTTCTCGACCCCTATCATTTTTTGATCTATTGAATAATATTTTTTCATATCCCACATCGTTAAATTAGGGATGAATATTAAGGGCATTTGTATTATTTAGCCCATTTGTTGGACCAATATTTTAACTATTACTTAACAAATTGTTAGGCGTTAAGCGTGTGATTTTATCGTAATAAGAGAGCATCGAGCGGTATTGTTGTTAGTTTTAAGGACATTCTTCGGCACAATGGCACTTCCTGTTTTTAATTAGCACTTATTCTGTGTCGATGGAAATATGATTATGAAACTAAGTAAGAAGTTGTTATATTATTAAATAGGTAAGTGTTAAATTGATGGGAGCTGATATGGACAATCTTTAGTTACTACCCCTTTTCGATGTAGTTCCAAAATTGTAGGGAAATGTGATGTTAGCGGTTTTATCAATGACAAGTCGACTGCGGCGTTCCTTAGATATCCAGTAACATTTCTGGCACATACAGCCGGAAAAATACTGACCCTTAAGAAAAACCAAAATGCACTGAACATCACAATATGGCGAGTGATCAAAAATGTTTTATAGACTTCGGGCTAGTTTCTTTCCTCTCCGGTCTTCTTATTAGAACCTTGAGTATTATAAAGCATTTTAGATTGTTAATATAACTTAATTATATTGAATAATGATGATTGTAGGTGATCCTTCAATCGATTTTAAAATGACAGTTTAAATCGACCATGTTACGTCAATACCGCCTAGTCACTGAGAGCCTACAGACCTGAAAATTCTGTTTATTATTTTTTGAAATGAGTGACATTTGGTTAATAATAATATTGTTAGTTTTTTTATACATATGTAGTACCTATTGAATGTTTTTTTTTATTAATTGGACATGGTAGTAACTAGTAGAGCTTTATAGGAAATGATCGTCTCGCTAGAATTTTTTTTTCAATTAAGGTACTGATTTACAGCTGAATTTTCACCTCGAGTATTAAACTTCACTCGTAAACAAAACGATATACACTTTGTTATTTTGGTAAGATATTTTTTTTATATGGAAACAACTTTATTTTTATATTAGTAGTATTATATGGTGCATGTGTAACGTTTACTTTATTGTATTTTTTATGAATATTATGCTACTACTTTTTATACTACATTACTGTGTGTTTGAGTGTGTTAGCAGAATTATTTTAGATTGATTTTCATTACTTTTGGTTTTTTTATTAGTGAATAATGTTTTTAGTATTTTTTGCTGAATCTATAACAATAAATAGATCTGATGCGGTCCTTACGGATCGGGGGTAGTTTTTCTTAATTTTTGATCTGCATTAGTGTAGTTTAGGTTATGAGTTTCAATTTTGGTGATATCCACAATGTTCGGTGGGATTGAAGACGTGTCTATAGATGGCGCCACATGGTTGATGCCTGGACGTGTGCCATACAATCATGTTGTGATGTAATAAGTGATATTTAGTATTGTTTGTAAATATGTACCATACTCGGATTAAATCTTAAGTTTGAGACATTTTCGTGTTTCGTATTACTCGTTAGTGCAAGATAGTGTTTCGGTAAGCCCCCTTCCAATTAGTGTTAGTAAATGAAATTTTAATATTGTTTTTTATCGAACGTTATTGTTTGTGTTCCACAAGAAATAGAGCACACATTTGCATGCATTTATCGCGTACATACTTGCACTAATCACAGCATTTTATTAGTACAGTTTCCTTTCACATTTTCTGTAATTTTCCCATCAACCTTTTTCATGCGCCATCTTGACATGTCTTCGATTTTAACGCCTGCATCGCTAACTACATTAGGTGAAGTAAAACTTTGTACAAATTTCAGTGATTTCGCCACCAATGATTTTAATATACGCCACTCTGTTCCTAATAAATTAATATTATATATCATTCCTATCGGATAATGTTCTACTTCATCTAATTTATTAAGCGTTTTTACAGTTTTGAAATTAGCCAATTAGTTTACGCTGTACCTTAGTTTTTTCTGACGAATTGTATAATACTTCACTATACATTATTTATAAAGAATTGAATTGCGTAATTAAATCTCATTTTTAATTTATTTTAATGCTTATTATATTAATTTTATCATTCTGATTAATATAATTCGTCTTAATTAACTGAGGTAGTGTTAGAAACATTTGAAATTATTTTAGAATTTAGGAAGTTTCGTTCGGAAAGTGTTCGCTGAGATAGAGTTGTAACTTTTGCGAGTAGACACTTTAAACTTTAATTTTGGTAACAACATACGCTTCTACTTAATGAGATCATTTCATCGTATTATATTTATAATTAAGTATAGCATAGAATATCTAAATTTCTACAGTTAGTTTTTGGAAATATGACGTCACACATTCATTGTAAATTCGTATACTATTATTTTTTTATTCACTTTCAATTATTGACAGTATGAGTTACGTTTAATTTTAACCTGAAAATGGTATAACTAAGTTCATTACATAAATATTATTGCAAAACTAATTTTTCCTTCACAATTTAAGTATTTGTGTTTTCGCATAATATGTAAGTGAAATTTTTTTCAAATACGGAATTAATTCATTCTTATAAATGGCATTTCTAAAGCTTGAGGACTGATTTAAACTGAAACATGTTTTGTCTTTAAATATATTTTGTCGATGTTTGTTGTTATAATTATTATATTTTTTTAATTATTTGTATAAACAATTGTTCTTTAAATTAATGTACATCGTTTTGTTTTGAATTATTTTTGTTGTATAATTGCTTTTTTTATAATAATACCAGTTCATTGCAGTTTTACTGTGTGTTTTATTTTTTTTTCTTTATTTTATTTGCCCGCGTAGTGCTTTTGGTAGAGTTCCTAGTTTTGGTAAATGGTTGTTTTAGCAAAGAAACAATCTTTGATTATAAAATGCATGTTTGTGCCAGTGAATACGCCACATTACATTCTTATACCTATAGGTATATAAACATACAAAAGATGTGATTTTCCCGATCCAGGATACTTTGATTCTACGACAACACCTCCGTTCGTTAAGTATGAATATCCTGGACAGATTAACATGTTTTTAATTTAAAATTTGTAACAATTATGTATTTCTAAAAAATATACTCGTTGGCTGGCACAAACATATTTGTACCTTTAGGTAGTATTGACAAGAACACTCCTATTAGATCAATTTTCGAGTCTACCCCGACCAATATAAAGACGTTATAAATAACGCACTGTAGGTGTGACTTTTGTGTTTTTGTGTGTGTGTGCGTGTGCGTGTGTTTGATATACTTTTGATACAGTTGGTGTTGGGAACAAGCTGGCATGTGTAAGTATGCTTAGTGTTAAGTATTGTTACACAAACTTATTTGCCGTTGGATAAAGGCCTGACGGTTGTAAAAGTATTATATGGAGGTATTATTGAATTGCAGAATTAATTTTGGTAAATTTATAAATCAAATAAAAAATTATCTGTTCCATTCGTATTCGACTTGATCGTTTTAAAATTATTACTACTTAAATAGACTAACCCCGTAAGACGAAAGCAGGACTTGTGGCATTGATATACTGTCTTTCCAACTCGCTAACTCAATTGTCGTAAGGGATAAAGTGCAGATTTACAGATGAGCAGAAAACAACAACAAAATAAATAAAACACTAACTTTTTGTTTTGAAAGCTATAAGGAAGATGTCTCAAACTAAAGTGCTTGAAAAGATCGAATTCTAAATATACAGAAACATAGAAGAGAAAAAATGAAAAAGGATTGTGCAATGAACAAAATGGTTGGATGTCCCCTACGACAATTGAATTTAATACCGTGGAATGGTTTAGACCGCAACACTTAAGTCGGAAAGACAGAATATCAATGCCACCAACTGTCTTTCGTCTACACTACTACTTAATAATTCTATCATCAAATACGCTGTACGTCTGTCAAACTTTGTCCAACATTTTAGAAAAATCAGAAAAATTGATTCCATTAGAAAAATAGATGATTGTCCTCTTAACGCACTAAGACATAAGGTTCAACAAAATTTAGTCCAGAAAGTGCTTGATGCAACAGCGTTTTGCTTAAGGACACATATCGATAGTTTTATAGAATAATGGTCTATCTCAAATATATTGAAACCATCAGGAAGATTATCTAAAAAACTAAATCATATCTCGCACGCACAACCGATGAATCTTATGTAGACCCAACGTTGTCTTGTGATTATTTTTTTCATTGTAAAAGCTGATTATCTTTATACATAATAAAATTGAGCATGTTCTGAATACATCCGAGTAATAAGTAAAAATTAAACTAAATTGTTTTGAGCCACTGGTTTCGAAACGCAGCGATATATATTGTTGAATCGAATTATTTTCAAACTTCGAGAAAAAGAATTTGGCTTCTTCCCCTTATCGACTCAGTTAATTTTTGTTGGACCTTGTGGACTATAGATAGGTACACATTATTCTATTGTCGTCTACATTTCAATCCCTTTTATTACTTTTTTAAGAATAGGGCATCGAATCCACCCATTGGCCTATAGTCACAAACTTCACATTTTTCTAAAAATAATAGTAGGTAGCCTTATGATAGGTACTTAATCACGTTTAGTTTCTAGAAATTGCCTTTTTGAAGTTTAAAAGACGATTCATCTGATGGTAAGGCACAAATGGGTACCGTCTGAAGGAAAGAAAGTCCCTTTCGTAAATATAGGTAAAGTTAATAAAAAATTCACAATTTAAACAATTGTTAGCAAATTCATTATTTTCATTATATTGATTTCTTTATCACATGGTACGGACAATGTCACGTTTTTAATTCTAGATGTAACGTATCCTTAGTGAATACGCCAAGAAACGTTAGGTAAGAGAAACGTTAGTTGAATTTGAACCTGTCGAGGCTTACTGTGAAGCTCAATTGCTAAAAGCGTAAGTAGACCGAACTTGAGCACAGAGAAAAGACCCTATCACCAGTTAGTATAACAAAATACTTTCTTAAATAGTATTCTATTTCTTTTTTGTTGTAGATTCTCAGTGACTTAGGTGGTATTATAAAATCAGCTAATAATATCTATAAAAAAAATACATATTCTTATGATTGTAGGCTATAACTTCGTATTTAATATGAACTTTTTATGCTAAAATTTAAGTAATTATCCAGATTAAGCTTTACTTTTCTACGAAGTAGCTATTGACCCTTTAAATAAAGGTGCTTGTACACTTAACGACCAACCAATTTTAACAAAATCAAAACATCAATGCAGAAGCCATAAATTGTACGTTTTTATACATCTTTCCGAAGAAACGATACCCATTGGTTTTTATTCATTTAAAAATCAGTAAATAAAAACTTTCTGTTAATAAAAAAGCATATGTTTACTTATTACCGAATGAACGACACTTTGTAACCAAAACAAACTTTATTGCTTATATAATGGAAACCATGCAATATGTATGCATACACATGTTGATGTCATCAAGAGATTAATAGAAATATTGTTTAATACACTTTTCTATCTTATGACACACTTATTAAAAGCAATAAACAAAGTATTATTAAGCACATAATGTCCGCCTAGCGCGATTCTTATGGCCGTGGTCGTAACGTGTACAAGGCCCCTAATCCCGCGGGTTCCTCTTTTCCTCGGCAGCACTGCTTAACAGTTTAATCGCTAACCAAAACCCACAATTTCCAAGTCAATTACTATAGGGAACATTTTTACTAAAAAAAACTAACTTTAGCATCTCTAGACGTAAGCAAGGCTAGGCTTACAAAATTGTTTATAATTTTATACTCAAGCAGTTTTCTTAAGGTTTAAAATAAAATTAAGAATCAATAAAATGTCGTGGCATCGACGAATTAAGGGTTATTTTCCACTTCATTGCTTTATTTGTCGCCGCAAAAAAATATTATAATACTCGATACCGCACTGTTACCAACTTCAAATAAAACATGTGATAAACGCATTATAGAATCCACTTGTGCGATTTATCGTTTACTATAATGACGTTTTGTGGAATTAGTAGAATAAGGCATACATCAACGAAATTTGATTTTAAATTTAAGAAAATTCACATTCATTCCAGCCAGCCATGTTACAAAAATTTTCCCTAATCTCCCCCGCTGCTGTTTACCTTGAATCTTAATATTGAAATAATAATTGCAAATAAACGCTCTTTGAAGTGGTCTGCACTATTCATTGATGAAATTTCAAGCTTTTGCCGCCCTTCATCTCTTTTATTTCTTTCATCCATCGCCAGGAAGGGTGTAGAAAACCGCCAACGGAGCAAGCACGTCAATGGGACAAGTGATAACACGCTACCCGCGATGTGCGAACTTCGTCTGGCACCCATTGTAAATAGAAATAAACTAGAAATTAATGATGTTAGTAGTACTAGTCTTAAGGGATGCCGGGATCCGAACAAATAGACAAACGGCGGGAAAATCGAAGAGTGAGTGAAAGAGTGTGTATTTTTATAATGAAGCTACATATGTCGACGATAGTCTCGTAAGGTGTTACATAGGCTTAGAGAAAGGATTTGTTGTTGATGCAAAAACGGACCGATATCCGAATTCGACAGGTTTAAAATAAGGGTTTACAAGTAACCATATCGATAGCTGTACGTGTAATCTAAACATTGTTTGAAGCGGTAATTTGTGACAGTTATAAAAATTCACCTGTTAATGTATTCATCATGGTAGATATTGTATCAATGTTAGGACGTGAATTGAATGCGGTTGCGGCATGGTCACATTATATTGAGTAGAGCGTCGTTGAATTTTATAGATAACCGATACGTTGATGTAATGTAAATATCATTGTCGCTTGTACATTCGTTTGTAGGAAGTCGAACATTATTTGCGTAATATGGAATTCTTTGCCGGCCAGTGATTTTTGTAGCCTCTTTCAAATCGAGAAAATGATATAATGTTGAAAATGAACGATGCTCGATAAAAATCGCTAGTCTGCATCAAAGTACGCGAAAATTTGCTCAGGAATTGTATTAATTTTCTCATGAACAATATGTATTTTATAATATCTTTTTACCATCGCTTTTATGGTATATAATTATGTACATATAGCGATGTTGTATCATTGTTGAATTTCATTCGCTACTAATTTAGTGGATTGCACAGAATGTTGGTATTTCACTTGATTTTTTGATGTATTTTTTCTTGAAATATTAAAATATTCCATAATTTTACTGTATTTCGACTGAAGTTGATTTAAAAATCGTACTTTCGTTATTGTGGAAGATGAAACAAAGCCTGTGTTTTAGGTGAACGCCTGTGACAGGCTTGACATCATTTTTGATGAAGACGAGGCATGAGTTTCTATCTCTCACAAAATTGTCAAAAATGTGATTGTTATTATATAAGATGACTAACAAAGCACATACGAGCACAAACCATCCATCCTCAAAGAAACTACGCTGAATGTTTTGAATTTAACTCACGTTTGAATTTTATGATACATTTTATTGTAAAATATATTTTACTATCGCTTAAGTTAGTTGAGACGTTTGCATATGAAATTATT